TGTTAGAGGTAAAAAATGTCCCTGAAGGGTGGATGTTATATAGTTGGTTGAAGGGGGGTTCTTTATTTTTAGGACCATGTGATAAATTTGCAATAAACCTGTTATAAAGCCCTACGAAGAAATCAAGAAGTGCCTTCCCCTAGTGTATTACCATTTATTAATAACATAGGAAAAATACTACTCACGTACGCCATGCGAATCAGTGTATACATCTCCAGCCCTGGACAAGAAGGAATCTCCACAATGACAATCACGGTGAGGATCAACCACTAAAGGGCTGTGTGAAGTCCTTAGCAGCTAACGCGTTTCGGGGGAGGTTCCCCCCCCCCCCTTCTTCAGAGCTAAAGGACCTAGCCACCAGAATTGATATTTATATAGAGAAAATCAAATTACCTTAGTGATGTAGAGCTATAAAAGATGGATCAAAAGACATGCCCCCATCTTCTCCACCTAATCCAAGGACCAATAAGAAGAGAGTATGGCCACATACTCTCACAACAACCCCACACCATAATCCCCCCTCCACCAAACTTTACGCTTGGCACAATGCAGTCAGGCAAGTACCGTTCTCCTGGCAACCGCTAAACTAAGACATGCCCATCGGATTTCCAGACAGAGAAGTGTGATTGGTCACTCCAGAGAACACATCTCCGCTTCTCTAGAGTCCAGTGGGGGCGTGCTTTACACCACTGCATCCAACGCTTTGCATTGCACTTGGTGATGTAAGGCTTGGATGCAGCTGCTTGGACATGGAAACCCATTCCATGAAGCTCTCTACGCACTGTTGTTGTGCCAATCTGAAGGCCACACGAAGTTTGGAGGTCTGTAGCTATTGACTGCACAGGCAGTTGGCGACTTCTGCGCACTATGCACTTCAGCATGCGCTGACTCCGCTCTGTCATTTTACGTGGCCTACCACTTCGTGGCTGAGTTGCTGTTGTTCCCACTTTGTTGTAATACCACTAACAGTTGGCCGTGGAATATTTAGTAGCAAGGAAATGTCATGGATGGACTTATTGCACAGGTGGCAACCTATCACAGTACCACGCTTGAATTCACTGAGCTCCTGAGAGCGACCCATTCTTTCACAAATGTTTGTAGAAGTGTCTGCATGCCGAGGTGCTTGATTTTATACCCTTGTGGCCATGGAGGTGATTGGAACACCTGAGTCCAATGATTTGGAGGGGGGTCCCAATACTTTTGACAATATAGTATATTTTATTGGTCAGCCTACACTGCAGTGCCGTAAGCTAAAAGCTGGTTCTTTGCCATGGTAACTCTGCACTAATGCTTCCTAAAAACTCTTGGCCGTGCTTTGAAGTGGAACTTTACCCACCAATATAATGTTTCCCAAAACAGTTACTTTAAGGCCTGTTCACACCAAGGCATGCACTGCTTTTTTCAATTACAACAGATACACGGTAGTGAGGTACCACGTGTTGCAGCATGGTTGAGCGCATTGCATTCACAAGGTGCGTTTGGGGTGCCATTCAAATGAAAGGCAATGAACGTAATGCACTGTAACACATGGCCTTGGTGTAAACGGGCCATTAACCCCTTCATGACTGAGGCCTTTTTTCATTTTTTGCACCTTGGGGGTCCAAAAGACCCTCAGTGTCACCTTTACACTGGAAATAAGCTATTGAAGTGCAGATCGCACTTCAATAGCTTATAGCTGGGCTGCAGGAGCCCAGAACTGACAGCCCAGGGACCGGAAGTGGGAGCGGGGAGGGGATCGATGAACGGAAGTTCGTTGACCTCCTCCGCAGCTCCCCGCGGACACCAAGGAAGCCGTTCCTGGGCCCATAGGAGGGGCAACGGAGCCCGGGAAGCACGGCGGCGGTGTCCGGCGGGGGGGCATCCCCTTCTATGGGACACAGAAGTGATCTGGCGACAGGTAAGTCGCTAGAATCGCTTCTGTTGTAAAGCCGACAGTCGGCTTTACAAGTTTAAACAGAGTCCCGGCGGCAATAGCTGCCGGGAGTCTGTTTAAACAGCCCCGATGCTGGCGACGTACACTGTACGTCGTCAGTCACGAAGGGGTTAAGACATGCAAGCTGTCAAGGTTGTGCTTATTTCAGCTCTCAAACCAAACTTTCAAGCCCTCAGATGGAGACTAAAGGTGCCCATACACCTTGCGATTATCGTATGATAATCGCGGGAAATTCCGTGATCGTACGATAATCGCAAGGTGTATGAAAGGCACCCGCACACTGCCCGTTCAGCATTGCGGTCATCAGCGGGGCGGGCTTTCGATGATCGCAAGTACGATCTGCCTGTCCAAGATGGGCAGATCGTACGAGCTTTTAATTAGCTTACAACCATCGCAAGACAAAAGTCTTGCGATGGTTGTAAGGTGTATGGGCACCTTAAGACGGCACCTCGCTTGGCTGTAATGAATAAGAGATTGTAGTTCATAACTAAATTATATTAGCAGCAGAGTATAATATTATTTTTAACACTGGAAAGGAAACCTGTCATGTAAGAACATTGGAGGCTGCCATTTGTGGTGACCTATGCTTTGAATGGTTGTAGCTTGCATGTCTTGCTGATTCTCTGGCTGATACTGATCTGTATACTTGTTCGGTCTGG